TCGTACTAACAGGAACCCTTGGCCAACAAAGAACTGATGGCATTCAATGATAGCACTTGGTCAACACCGGCTGTTTCGCGGGTATTTCAGAAATGGGAAGGTGCGATGTGGCTCAGGCTCCCACGAGAATATGGTCAATAGGTTCTTGCCATTGGCGCCAAGGAGATGAACACCACATCAAGGGCAAGATTCGGGCAGCCTTTGTCAACCTCCGCACCTGGGTCAAAAGCAGGGCCAGCTTGCTTGTTGTGTCCCTGAAAGTTTGAAACTCAGGCAACGATTTCAAACAAAGTGCTTAGCATGTCCAACGCTTCTTTGATGTGCCGGCAGTCTCAGGAACAACTCTGACAGGAACGTGGGAGGCTGACAGTGCGGACACTTGAAATGCAATGAAGCGCAAGATTGCATTCCTTTTCAGGGATGCTCTTGGCATTCCTTCGTCGATTCAAGAGTTGCATAGTGACGGCAAGATTTCTGAGGATTTGGACAGTGTCCTGCATATCCACTTGTCTGAGATGGGTGTGAACGAGGAGTGGATCTGGAAGCCTGATCCAAAGGATCCGACGCTTGGCAAGCAGATTGCAGATCGTTGATGCGGACCAGACACCTCGTTCATACGGAGCCAACACGCCAGCGTCGCTCACGTGGCACTGCTTGGAGCAAAATATGGTTTACCAAGGTTGAAGCAATCAGAGGGAAGTGACAGTGGCAAGTAAACGTGGAGATCCCTTGCCGGGAGGTACGTCTGCAACTTTCCAGGGAGGTAAGTGTTCTGGAAAGATCTGCTGACTCGTGTCGCATATGCACAATCAAATGTGCATCGACGGTGTGCTGATGTCAGATCATTTGTTTGAGAGATGGCAAGACATTAGCTATGTATTCAGGGATACATGAGATTATATGTTGAAGTGGGCTTTCCAACCGAGGTATTTTTGGGTGAGCTTCCAGTAATTCCTTAGGATGAGCAGCACAAGATATTCATTCGGCCCTTTCTCGTCTCAGTGTATGTACGGGTAATAATTTGTTGGGCACTTAGGCACTCGCACTTTCCATCGAGTGCTTAAACTGGCTTTCCATTTCTATGATTCTATGGCTTCGGAAAGCATCATGAATCATAAGAGCGTCCCTTTCCAGAGTCAGAAATGTGAATCGAGATGACAGACTGCTGTAGCATGATACACATTTTGGACGTGACTAAATGATGTGAACGGCGCACACAGAGGATAGATGAGAATAGCCGGACAAGACGGCTTCCTGTCAGCTGGAGAGAGACTCTATAGCAGGGTTCGAGCATTTTGTTTATTGCTACACGCTGAAACTTTTGCTTTGCTTTTGTGCCGAGTCAACCTCCAGCGAGACGCTGCCCAGCCAGTGGCAGCAGTGCTGTTCTTACACTTTCACAGCGTGAGAGCACCTTTTTTTCCATGCAGTGCCTGTACAGAGGCGCAGGCAACAATTGAATCCATGGTTTTATGCGCATCCTTTGCTGAGTGGACTTGGAACAGAATGCCGGGAAGGCTCTTGACTCTCAAACAATGCCGTTGGTGCTGTGCCCGCTTGAACCACAGTTTTGCTACATCTCGGCCTTTTGGTGAATGTCCATCTCAGACCTGGAGCGAATTTTGACGAATTTCCTGCACGTCCTCCGGCGATCTGCGGCTTGCGGGATTTGCGGCCCAGCCATGGGGATGCCTGGCGTGTCGTGAGCTGAAACGAACGCGTCGTGACTGGGCTCAGTCTCTCAATCGCAGGCGACCTGCTACCATAAGGGTATGCAATCCTGGTGCTGCAGAAAACCTTCCTCAGCTCATTGTTCAGAGAGCAAGACAGGAAATGCAAGAGTTAGATGAAACGAGTTGATGCCACCGCTGGTGGTGTTATTTGCAGCAAGGATTTACCGTTTAACATCCGCTGGACTCAGAGTCTCTGCCAGAGCTTGCACACACCATTGCAAGCCTTCCAAGTTCACCTAGGGCCCTGCCCTATGAATCAGTGTAAAACAAGAGAATCTATTAGCAAATTTTGGAAAGCGCAGTCTGTCGAACGCAGTTGCAAAGTTGTTCTTTTTCTATGGCCCCCCGTTAGTATTTCGTACTCATTGCTAAATTGCAGATGGCAGACTGCTGCTCGCCACGTTGAATGGGAGCGAGCGCATAGTGCGATGCCTACAACATTGGCCCCTCCGAGCATGCTGTGACTTTCTTGAACATCTGACACATCAGTGAACATGCTGGGAATGTCAGTAAACATCCAGCGATCTTCTTACTCGTATGTTTTGCGCTGGGCATGCTGATTTCATGCTGGGCATGCTGGGAGCCGGGAGCCTGCAGTGTCGGTATCCATGGTTTGAGACTTTGCTCCCTGCCACTGCTTTTCGGAGAGCACTCTGAGAGAAGGCCACAGGCAAAAGTGGACCAAGGAGTGACGCTTGACCGATGAAATCTTGAGACTTTGAGCCTGATGGATTTGATTGCACTATCTTGTACTCCTGGGCCACCCCAAAAGCTCCAAAGTGATCGTCATCCTGGGCAGGTCCTGACGGCGCTTTCCTCGCAGTTGCTGAGGCGGCTGACTCCTGTCCAGAGGTGTTGAAATGTCCGGATGTGTAGAGATCTGATATGTCCATCTTCTCCCATGGAGCGCTTCACTGAGCGCTTCGCTCCGCGAATCATGTTCAGACTTTCCGCACAGGATGGCTGCTCGAAGCTGAACGACATTGAGTTTGAGTTTGAGGCAGGACAATGACGCCTGAAACGTGCCAGCTATCCAATGGCACTGATCAAAGGAGTCCTTTTGTTCATTTTGTTCAATCCTTTCACCATTGTTCGCCTCTTTGACTCGACCCCCTTCATATTTTTGACTGCCCTTCTCGTTCCTGTTTGAACACCGGTGAGTAGGGGTGCAATGAGGTTTGCCTCTTCGACCGTGTGACTCAACGGGACCTGAAAAGCGGGCACAAGTTCACGCACCCCGGCGGGTTGAGGGTTCACGCGCTGTTTTTTTGGAGTGTGTTTCTTTGAGAATAGTAGCGTCCTTGCTACTAGTTAGCCATGGCCCCAAACCTAGTAGCTTCTAGCTACTAGTAGTAAGGTTTCTTTGAGAAGCAATCGGTTAGTTGACATCTTATTTTTGGATTTGTCATCAGTAGACGGTCATTTTGAATGGTTATTTTTGGCAGTTTTGATGGTTTTATATATCGTAATTACGACTGGCAAACTCCGTGTTACTCGAGTAGACTCGCCAGATCTCTCAGGCTGGGTCAGAAGGGCAATTGGGCAACCTCACTCTGGGAGAATGGGCAGCACAGGAGCGTGAAGAGTTGCGTGTTGAGAACAAAGAAGGTTGAGGAAGGAGAGATTCGTTTCCTCAGTTGAAGTCATACAACTTAGTTCATAATCTTACAGTATATAGTTGTATCGGGACTCGTGTTTATTCTGTTAGGACCGACTACACGAAGCTAGCACGCGCCTCGAAGGTCATCCAGAAGACTGAGGGGTCTTGTCTACTGTGGATTGGATTGAAACGAAAGGAAACAGTCCCAAGCTAAGCATAACCCAGTAGTGTCCCTTGTTCAGAGCTAAGATCATGGACCATGGTGACTTTTGTGCACCTGCCCACAAGCATCGAGAGGCACGCAACTACAGTTTGTGCAGTGAACAGCAGTTCTTGCGCTTTGCTGTAATTCGCATTTTCATGCGTGTGCGTGTGGCATGCTTCTTACAGTTTTAATGTCGTTGATTTTTATTGAACAGCCTGCTCTTGTGATTCAGACCTGACGTGATGTGACTTTTCTTTTTTGCGATATGACTTCTGTTGGGCCACATGGGCGTGATGTGACTTTCAGGGCTTTAAGATTCACCCAGATTCACCATAGTCATAGGATGCCGGATGAATGCAGCGACAATTTAGAAGTCAAATTTATGCCTTGTAGATAGTGCCCTTTTGATAGCCCGCTCCGCCCTGGCATGATCCAATGTTTTTGCCCCAAAGCAATTTGCTCTTGGAGTTGTCTTGTTTGAGCAGGACCCTGTCGTTTGCTGGTGTTTTGGCTCTGTCTACGATGAGGATATTCAGCATTGATCAGAGTGGACTTTCGTTACAAACTCTCACCACTTTCTCATACAAGACCTAAGGGCACGAAGATGTTTTGCTTCTCGTTTCGTTTGCTTGGTCGGAGTCTACGATGCAAGAATTGCTGGTGAGTGGACTGGGCCCCGTTTATATTGGGCTTCGACTCTATTGACAACTTGACAAGTGGAGCAGACTACTGGCTACTGAACGTCCCCAAGATATCAAGTCCCAAATCCTCCAAGCACTGAAAGAACACAGTTTTTTGGCTTTGTGTAAGGAAGAAGTAAACATGGCGTAAGTAGCTCGATGCCATTGTAATACATACAATCCTTTTGATCCTTTGAGCTCTCATATTCTGTTAGGTCGAGATCAACTTTGAGTGCTCCGTCAAGCCAGCCTTGTTGTCGGTCTTGGGCCCGGACCAAAAGCCTGAGAGCTGGTCGGCATGTTTGAACAGAATCCCTAGGTCCAAGAGACTCAAGTCTGCAGCTACACGGCGCGAATGACTGGGACTCGGTGAATGTGTGAACTCAGCTACGCATGGTGGCATTGTCATTTCGTGAAGTTCACTCTTCGACACTCTATACCTCAAGTGAAGACTTGAGGCAAACGCCCGCTGCATGCCCTGCGCTGAGCTGAGTTGCAGACAAAAAGTGGCAAGGGCTGCCAGCAATTCCTGACATGACCTTGTGGACACACCACGCCTTTTCGCGAAGGACTTCCTGACCGCATTTGGCAAGTTGTAAGCTTTCCACTGCTCGCTCTGCTCGCAGGGGGACAGTGCTCAGAGTCGAAACACATCTAAACAAAGCGTGAAGAAACCACCAAAGAAGCCACCCCCCACAAACAAAACTGCGAAGAAGCTGATGCAAAGATATCAAGATGAACAGGCTACTGCACAGCAATGATGCAAGGACTCTCAAAAGTCGCATTTTTGGGCCTGGAGTTTCCCTGCATGGTAAGCAGCTCAATTCTAGAGAAGGTTGTAGCTCAACAGCAGACAAGTCAGATGGCTTGGGCGAGGCTGTAGCAAGGCGGGAATCACAACAGAAAGACATTTGTTGGAGTTTCAAGGAACGCTTCACCAGATTGTTGCTCTGAGGGCATGACCGCGAATCAGCAGAGAGCCCTCACAAAGAAACAACAGATCAACATAGCGCGACCCTCAGAAATCAGAAGCCTCCAGTGTGCCTTGCCATTGTGCAGTTGTCCCTGCGGCCAAGCAAGATTCTGGATTGCTAGAACACATTTACTGGTATAAAAGTCATATGACGACTACTACTACTACTACTACTCCTACTACTCCTACTCCTACTCCTACTCCTACTACTACTACTCCTACTCCTACTCCTACTCCTACTCCCACTACTAGTAGGACGTCCTTGTTGTTTCACGCAAGCTACGATGTTGATGTGACACTTGCGCCCTAGAACCAACCGCTGTTCAGGTGGTCAAATTGCTGAACTCAAGACGAGACAGGGCCGAAGAACTGCGTGACAGGCCAGGGGCACCGCACCAGTACCAGTGGCCTGACATTGACTGCGATTCACGTAGCTTCTTGCTCAATCCAACTTGTTTGGCAGGATTGCCCAGGGGAAGGGCATCCGTGCTCACGGACAGGAATTTGATCTAGCAACCCTCCGCGAGTCCTTGGATTTATGGGAGGCACAACTTTCGGATGGTTACTTTTCTCTTGAGAGAGTGTTGCTTTGGACAGCTTTGATTGAGGCGCAGCATGGGGAGGGGAAAGATCAGCAGCCGCTGCCGGAGCAACTTCAGCCTCAGCCAAAAGAGCAACCGTGGAAGCAGTTGCCACCACGGCAACCCAAGCTTCCTCCTCAAGAGCAAGAAGTCGCAACACCACAGCGGAAAAGCGCAAAGCCGGGCTGTGTATCTTGACAGCAAGCACAACCAGCAATATAGCACAGTCTCTATCAGATTTTGTTGCATGGGGTGTACACGACCTATTCGCCAATGGAAATTGGTTGATCCAAGCACTGAGGAGAAGCACATATTTTCAAGCCCTCGAGAAGTCGCTCGAAACAAAGGCAGGTGATGCATGCAGCCCATGCGACTGACAAGCTCCTCCAAAAGCTGGCTGTGCAGTGAAGTCGAGCATGTTTATCAGCTTATTGTCCATGATTATCATTCAATCTCTGAATGAATGCCTCTTATGTTGCCTTTTGTTTCACAATTTCCAGAACAAGTTCAATTTCGTCCTGTTTCAATTTTTCGTTGAAGAAATGCCAGACTTAACTCACCCTGAGCTCTTCACCATGTTGCATCTGCACCTGATTCATTGAAGCCTCCCCGTTCGCCGGTTGCGTTTGGTCTCCGATCGAGTCGAACGCGAGTGGAACAGCGCTGCCTCGTAGTCGTAGCGCTGCGACCAGACGTTGATGAAGCGGACACGCTGCGGCACCCAGCCTCGAAGCGCCCAGCCTCCCCATCTGCGGGACACAGGCGGAACGGAGGGACGAGAGGGACGATGGTTGAAGATTTTTGAGGAGGAAAAGAGGAGAGTCTGGGCAGTCTGGGGCTTCGGCTCAAAAAGGGAGTTTTAGGGAACAACGACTCACACGCATCGTATTTTTGATACATGACAAAGAAGGCAAACTATACCAGCGATCAGTTTGTCACATAGTGAACTTGCTGAACACATCGCCAGATGAGGCCAGCATGGTATATTGATACATTCCAAACCCAATCCATGGCCTTTCTGGGATCTCAGACGAACCTTTTTAATCCTTTTTGGGCCCAACGACGAAAAACCCAAGACCTCAATGTTTCGATCGGACGCACTGCACTGAACTGGTCGCCATGGCGAACGCACAGAACTTGGTGCCGAATGCGGACCCACGCTCCGACTGGGAAGGCGAGGTCTTTGAGACCATGTTTCCGGTGAAATCCACGTTGGACATCGACTCCTGCTCTGTGACAGTCGGGGAGGAAACCGGAAAAGCCAACGCCGCAAGCATCTTCCTGCGGAAGGGCTTTGTGATACTCCGGGGTGCCCTCTCCGCTGATCAAGTGGATGAGCTTCAAGAGACTTGCAAGAAACTCTATGGCTCCGTAGGAAGACTTGATCCTGAAGGCCAAGGCAATCGGAATCCTGGAAGATATTCCTTTGGGGCCATCACTCCATCGGGGCAGTGCCTTCACCTGAGGGCTTTCCTTCACTTGTTACAGGTGGACTTCATCCATGAGATTCTTGGGCAAATCTACCAGGTGAACGTGAACTCGAAGGGTCCGGTCATCTCGGGGACTGAGTCGGGGTATTTGGTTCATGCTGCTGGAGGAGACTTTTGCACAGGACCGAAGCAGGTGCATGAGGTAGTGGGATTCAATTGTGAGGCAGGGTTGTAAATCCCATCCTCATCCTCATAGTCAGCTGAATTCAGTGGTGCAATCAACACCAGGACTTGCCCTTTTGGACACAGATACTCAGATACTGCATAGCCAATCTGAATGAAGCTAGGGATTGTCCCATGGAACATGTTTAGCCATCAAACACAACTGCACCAACGTAACAAGTGTTGCCAACCAATGAACCCACCCTCCACCCGACTCCGCCAACCAAAGCCGCCAGCCTGTGTCCAGCATTTGAACTTTATGAGCTCCTTAGCTTAGGGATGACAAAGGCCCAAGAGTTGATATAGCAAGAGGCCAAGTGCCAGGCTATGATCAAGCTAGTGATAGTTGTGCCACCTACTTAATCTATTGGCGCAAGGCTTCACACTTTGATGAAAAGGCTCAAGGTATGAAAGCGACTATCTTCCTGTGAGCTGGCAGGAGCAACTTGGGAGTTTCAGAAATTGCACAGCGATATGCGACCTGCGCAGCCACTGAAAGGCAAAGGCTTCGGCAAGTTTGCCAATTCACCGATCCACAGCAAGAGCAGTCCTCCTCTGATTTCAGCCAACTTCGTCATTCAAGAGTTAACCCCTTGGAATGGGGCCATGCGGATCATCCCATGGAGTGAGATGTACGACTACTGTGGAAGCAATCTGCTGCAGCCAGCACCAGAGCTGGAAGAGGAATATTGGCATCGGAAGAACTGGCTGAAGTCGAAGATCTTTCCCTTGAAGCCGGGCGACTGCATACTTCGCACCTTGACGAAGCAGGTTTTGTGTGGTAGGTCCACCTTCTAAGCACTCTCCTCCGAGAGTGCTCTTCTAATGGTAAAGACCAGCAATTCCAGTGCCTCCAGCTTTGGGCTTCTCTCAAACTCTCATAGTTTTCAAATCGATTCAGAATGATTCAGATGAATGATTCTCGCCCAGGAGACATCAGAGTATGGCATGGGGGCTGTCCCAACTTGAGTGGAGAACCACGGTTCTTGCCGAGCATGGAAGTTTGTTCCAGAGCTTATCATTGCTACCTGAAGGAGACCCAACCAGACAGCCGCAAAGCACGAGCTGCCCTGCCATTGAAGCTGTATGAAGGTCTTGATGCAGCTGGCAAATCTCTCACTGTCCATTTGGTCACTGACGGAAAGCAAGACGTTGACTTACATATTGAAGACTACACGTGGCTGAAGCGAGCATCAGAGCTCACCTCGCCACCAAGGGACTGTTATGACATGAGCCTTTACAAGTTTATGAAAGACAACCACCATGAAATAATCATGATGCTTCAGGCTTTGCACCGGGAGGGTGCAGAACGCGGGTTTGTCAATCCATCTGAGCTTCTGGCTTTGCAGAGCCTGCACCCCAAGTTATATGCAATGGCTTCTGAATGGTTTGCAACCCAGGCAGGATAGGATGGCTCGTTTTGTTTCTGTTTTTCTGCGGCGTACGTGTTCATTCATAGTTTGCAGGCGGGTAGATTCATCACGGTGCCTCGTTCCTGTACTGGATATTCGGCAATTTTTGCCTTGCTACCCTGAGGCCCCTGAGGGTGTGGGTGTGAGAGCAAAGCAGAACCGATGGAACTCACGTCGTTGCGATCAGGGAAGGTGGACAGCTCGGAGGGCTTGATTGACCTCGGCTTTTGGGGAAAGTTCCACAAGTTGTGGGACAAGATTTGGGTATTTGTGGGCCCAAAAAGCAAAATCGTTTTGGGTCGTCAATCTTGAGGTTTGGGTCCCGGTGAATCGAGCGACACTCAGCTGACTCAGCTTCCTTGGAAATTCAGACCGAGATGTTCACAAGACGTGAGCCAGAGACGCTTCTGTGCGTCGCTTTTTGCGCGACTTTCGAGCACAGCGGTGCGGTTTTCAGCGTGTGACACATTTTGTTGATCGAAAAGAGGGACTTGTGTATGAAACAAATGATACCTGCAAAATTCAATGATTTCAAGTGAGACTGTCTGACCTGTTTCGCTCAGTTCGCTTGAGAAAGAATCGCCGAAAAGCGCCAGAAGAGGAGCACGTTCGCCTGGGCAGGTGCGACGGTTGCTGAAAGAGGAATGGAGGGGGAGAGAGAAGCACAAAGGAACACCGGAAGCACGGTAGACAATCAGGAAAACAGAGTCGTCTGAACGAACCCAACAAAGTCTGCACTTCTCGAGTCAACTTCAGGCTGAAGCAGAAAGCCTCACTGTCAAAGCCTTGAAAGCCCGACTGAGAGAGCATGGCCTGCTGGGTGTCTTAGCGTCTGGGGGCTGCGTGGAGAAAGCAGAACTTCAGGCGGGACTTGTTTGGACGGACATGTTGGAGGCCATTGCTATTAGGTTGGAGGCCATTGCTATTAGGTTGGAGGCCATTGCTATTATATAGGTTGGAGGCCATCGCTAGTAGGTTGGAGGCCATCACTATCAGCAACTCAAAAGAAGATTGCATTGTGTTTTTTTCCCCAGATAGCTGCTGCCGTGCTGATGCTGGTGCAGGTGCCGTTGCTGGCTGTAGATCGGCGTTTTGGTTCTGCGAGTGCTGCTGCCGCGCTGGTGCTGGCGCTGGCTTTGGATCGGAGTCTCGTTTTGCGGGCGCTGCTGCCGTGCTCGCTCGTGCTGGTACTGGGTCGGCGTTTCGTTTTGCGGGCGCTGCTGCCGTGCTGGTGCTGGGACGACATCATGTCATGCCAGGGATCACATGCTGTCATATTGTGCATGACAACGTGTTGCGCAGCAATGGTCATAATGTCGTCCGGGCAGCTTTGGCTAGGCCTTGCCGATCTTATGTCTGTGTTGAGCAAAGCTGGCGCACTCAGTTGTTAGATGTTGCACATATTGGTGCCGGTGACATCCGTCCGTGGCAGTATCCTTCAAACCTATACACGCGCATTCTGGGGTCTAGTCTATGCCGGTGTATTCTTGAAGCTTACTTTGTTGTATCATGAGCTTGGAGGCCATTTCTTCATATTTCTTCTAGGTCTAGGTTGGAGGACGTCGTTGGTGGGCGGAGCCGGCAGAACCTGGTGGTGCACTTATTGTAAGTTCATTTGGTTGGTGGACAAAACGTTGAGGGGCTTGGGCCGAGGGTGGACCAATGTGAAACATGTGTACCTTTTGTCAGGCACTCTGGGAGAGGTTCGAAACATGGCAGCAGCGACCCTTGCAAGAACTGCAGGATCAATGACGCTTGGCAGCACTTTAGTGCCGAAAGATGTCAACACAAGCAAAACAAGCAAACAAAAATGGGAATGACCGTTTTATTTGTTCAAAGAGCAGGCATCGGCGAATGAGAACACGACATGAGGCGGCACACAGAAGCAGGTGCAGATTCACCAACGACCAAGTTGAATAGGTGCTTACCAGGTTTTTGGTCCGACACAAAGTTTCTTGCAGAACAATATTATACTATAGGATTTAATCTGTGATTATCGGGTTCGGTGCAAAACGATGCCTTGCCACAAAAGAAGAACCTTTCAAAACAGGTCAGCCTTAAAAACATGATTAGCCCTTCACAATGGAATTCCGTCAGCTGAGATGCAATATCGCTATTGAATACGAATCCAGTTAGCTCACATTATTGCATTTCTCCTACACAACAAGAGCTCGAACGCCATTTTGCGAAACTTTTCGCACAACATCCTTTGTCCTATGAAACCGTGAAACGCAATAGTAACAAGCACGTCACCAAGCTAGAGATAGGCTGAAGAGGGTTCTTGCTGACAAATATGTGCAAAAATATTCAACCTGAGGTGTTTTACCGAGACGCTGGTGTTCTTCTGAAGGATTTGACAGTTTAGCTGAATCTTTACATGTGGACTTAAAACCTCAGAACTGGATTTGCAGAGGTCTCTCGAGCCTTGCAGGTCCACGGAAGGTCTCATCACCCTTTTGGTACTTGAGGTATTCGGGGGTTGGGTGCAAGACTTTTACATCCAAAACAGCTCACTGGGTCTGCCTATCCCAAGGCGAAGCGCTGGGCGGTCCACGTTTTGACAACGCCTGTGACGCTGCCAAATACTTGATAAAGCTTCCGACTCAGCTGAACTGTTTCTCCCTGACCTTGCGCGACTTCCAAGACCCAGACGAATCGTCCAGTGTGCTTCCAAGGTCACAGTCCGAGCCCGGAAGGCCTAGCCATTCAGCAGGAGCAGCTGGCGCTCCAAGCCGGTCAGCCGGAACTGGTGCTCCGAGTTTCATGGCGGCGTCCAAAGCGTTCCCGGCACCGAAGACATGGCGAATTTGGGGCCAAACGCCGCCTTCGTCGGCGCCCACGGTGCCTCCGGCCAATCCAAAAGTTGCACCAGTTGCAACCTCTCCGCCGAACAGGGAACAGGACTGATGAGACTTGAGCAGTTCAACGTGACATCTGACTCAGTATGACCTAAGCAGAGCTTTAGTTTACATGTAAGATTTATAATCACCATGTATCATTGGTGCATGGTCCTGCAAGCCATCACCTGCAGGATGCTCAGAAGGAAGCTAGTCGTTCGCCTGGCTGGAGTTGAAAGTGTTGTGAGTCGTTTTCAGTGAAAACATGGAAGTTCATGAGGCGTGTCACACTTGGCATTGTGTCGGTTGTCGGTCCCATCTCTCAAGCAGGGAGGGCTGAGCTCATAGCACCTAGGCCTCCTGGCCTTTTCATGTCGGTGGAGCAAAAGCGCGTGCCGAGGGGATTGAGGGATTGGAGCATCCAGGCTCCGCATTTGCATCGGCAGCGGTTGCCTACGGTTGGCCGCTGACAATCACTAAGGAGTTTCTGCCGGCGAACGAGCAGGCACTGAGCGCCTTGGAAGGCATCCAGACCTTGCCTCTTGCCTGACCTGGGTCTCTTTCGGTCAGTCGGTCAGGAGTGTGCACGACTTCGCCTCTTGGAGCGGAAGCTTCAAGACGCCCAGCCCAGCTTCCGCAGTATACGGGGGGGACCAGGGCCATGAAGCGCTTGGATGGCTTAAAGCTGGATGAACGAGCGACGGCGCTGTTGCTGCCGGTCGCCAGCAGGTCTAACTCCCAGCTGAGCTCCTTGACGCCATCAGGGTGCAGTATCCTGCCGGTCTCACTTCGACTGCCTTGCTCGACACGGTCTCCGCGCAGGATCAAGCTTGAAGTCGCGACCGAGATGGGCGTGCCAAATGTCGTGCCCATGTCTTTGACCACCGATGCCCAGCGTCAAACAGAGCACAAGGGGCAGCAGATCGATTTGCCAGATCCGGACGACCTCCTGGAGTCATGCCAGCCTTGCGCCAAGGATCAAGAGACAGCGCTGCTCTGGATGCAGAGCGTTGCGACGATTGCTCGCCAACTTGGGGCATCCAAAAGCTTAAGTTGTTGTAAAAGTGCTTTGGTTTGTTGTAAAAGTGCT